AGTTGGCAAGTTTGAACATGTGGATCCCTTGGACGACTCGAGCCTTATTACCGTCAAACGAGCAAAGGGTGACCCTCTTGGAACACTCAAATTCTTCGTAACACCCCCAGGAGTTGCTCCCGTTTCCAGTCTTGCCGTCAAAGCTGAGGTCCCTGTATCCTTGTCTCCTGGTTATCTTCCACCGGGAACTACTGCCGAGGATGCCCAACGAAATAGCAGACAGCGATCTAGTTCATCGCCCCCCACCTCGCGTTCTAATACATTGACAGATGAGAAGACTGAGGATAAGGTAGCTCGAGAGGGAAGCTCATATAGAGCTGAAATGGAGAGAAAGCAGCGCGAGTATCTGGCCAAGAGGAAACAAGCAGCGATGAAGGGTAGTCCTTCAGAGACACTTGGACCTGGTATCGTCGGCCGAAACGTCGATTTCGACCAACCTCGTGAGTCGCCGTATGAGGACAAGAGGCCAGAACAACTCTTCCCCCAAAGGCGACCTCCAGCCCCACCAAGCGATCCTTCTGCGACATTGATCAAGGCGAACTCACTAAGCAGAAAGACTGGAGCTAGCATACGCGCATCAAGTAGCAGTCTTGAGGGATATCCAACACCACGGCATCCACATACCGAGAGCGAGATGACTGAGAAGTCAAGGAGATCCAAGGGTACATCTCAGCCAGCTGCAGGTCCTGCTGGTATTGGGGCAGCCCTTGCAGGCATGGGTAGGAACTTGAGCGCGATTGGACAATCTGCCAAGAACAATCGTGGCTCTTCTCCCGCGCGATCTTCAACACAATCGATCCCCGGAGGTAAGGACCACTTCTCTAGCATCGACCCTCCTCAACCAAGCTCGGGTCGAGATAGTCCTAGTACAATAGCTACACCAGGTACCGTGACCTGGAGCAAGAAGAACTTGCCCTTCATTGTGCCGGACTACTCGCCCAGTCAATCACCCTCTATGCTAAGCCCCAGCCTTGAAGCTGCACCAGAAGCTGCACCAGAAGCTAAAATCTTTGAAACAGTCCCGAGGGCAACATCTCCTACTGATATGAGTCCCAACTCGAGCCGTACAAGGGGCACTTTCGCCCCGGATCATCCGTCGCCTCCAAAACGACGAGCAACTCATGGGCCAGATCCAGACTTTGAGGACTCAGACGTCCAGTTTTCGAAGCCTGCTCCCGCACCACCGGCTGACGATGACAGCGGGGATGATTCGGATGACGGGCTCTTTGCCATTCCACTTGCTAACCGAAACAAGGGCAAGGCCGCTGCGGCGAATGGAGATGCAAATGGTCACAACAAGCGTCCTAGTCTAACAGTTAATACGGCGCGCTCCAGGAAGGGTCTCTCTGTTGCCTTTACATCACCCAAGTCATATGGCAGTAGCGTGACTCCTGACAGCAACGAAGACCCCCGGCAAAAGCCAACGACACCTCGTTCCGAAACCTGGGAATCGGAAGACAAGGACAAAGATAGTAAACTCGGCCGGCGAAAATCGTTTATCGAGAAGGATGTCTGGGCTAATCGCCCTCCAACGGACGCCCTTATCAATAACCTCGACGACTTCTTCCCCAACCTGGATCTCGATCAACCTGTTCTTGATGAACCTGGCGAAGGTGGAATGCCACCATCTCCGATTGCCGAGGGCACAGAGACCACTTCTGATCAAGGGCCATCCCAACCAACAGTGTCGAACCATACTCAGCAGGCACCAGCAATACCACCGTCCCGGCAGCCATCTCTGTACAACGAAAATGATACTCTTGGCTCCGACGAGTCAACCCTCAAAGCCCTCGATCAACAGCGGCCCACTTCTGTGGCTGCAAGGAGTATTCGACGCTCAGGCGGTCTCGGTCGAATGAAGTCCATTCGAGAAGTCGCCCGCGGCGCTCACGAGGCCAACAAGCGAACCAATTCAACAAATCAAGGACCGTCGTCAGGTAACATTATGCGCCGAAAGAGTACAAAGATGTTCAATGCCAACATTGTACAAATCCGACCGGATAGACGTGGTAGCGTCATAATGCCGCAGATTCCTCAAGATACAGTGCCAAAGCGACAGACGACATTTAGGTGGTTCAAGGGTCAGCTCATCGGTAAAGGTACTTATGGCCGAGTGTACCTCGGTATGAATGCCACTACAGGAGAATTCTTGGCTGTCAAAGAGGTCGAGGTGAATCCCAAGGCGGCTGGTGGTGACAAGAGCAAGATGAAGGAGCTTGTTGCGGCTCTAGACCAGGAAATCGACACAATGCAGCACCTGGACCATATCAACATTGTGCAATACTTGGGATGCGAGCGAAAGGAAACTAGTATTAGCATCTTTCTCGAGTATATTTCTGGTGGCAGTATTGGATCGTGTCTGCGCAAGCATGGCAAGTTTGAGGAGTCTGTCGTGTCTTCACTAACAAGACAAACACTCTCCGGCCTCGCCTATCTACATCGCGAGGGTATTTTGCATCGCGATCTGAAGGCCGACAATATTCTTCTTGATTTGGACGGAACGTGCAAGATCAGCGATTTCGGCATCTCCAAGAAGACGGACAACATATATGGCAATGACAAGACAAACAACATGCAAGGTTCGGTATTCTGGATGGCCCCAGAGGTCATTCGATCCCAAGGCGAAGGTTACAGCGCCAAGGTCGACATTTGGAGTCTGGGCTGTGTAGTCCTGGAGATGTTTGCTGGCAAGCGCCCATGGGCCAAGGAGGAGGCTGTTGGTGCCATCTACAAGATTGCCAATGGCGAGCGGCCACCGATCCCCGAGGACATTCAGGATACTCTTGGGCCACTGGCCGTTGCCTTTATGATGGATTGCTTCCAAGTGTAAGTTTCTTGGTATGGCAGTGTTGTTCGGAATGCTAACAAGAAGACAGAAACCCCTTCGACCGTCCTACAGCGGATGTGCTCCTGTCGCAGCACCCGTTCTGTGAACTGGATCCAAACTACAACTTTTATGACACAGTGCTGTATCACAAGATCAAGTCGTTCAAATAAACTAGCTATAGATGCATGATATTGAACGAAGTGGCTAATTATTCTTACCTTCTTTTTTTGTATGTATGTATTAGTGGCATGGGAGTTATACGCTTTTGAAGTTCGAGAGCGACGGCGTCATTATGGGAATACGGCTTGAAAGCTGATTGGCGTTGTTTATGTACGGGGGGGATGCAAATGGTAATGAAATGAACGGTTGGATGGCTGATGATATCTGATACTGTGAAGTATGTATCAAGTGTGACTGCAAGTTATAGACTTGTGTGATGATTTTATGCATGCTCAGGCAGGATCAGTGATATCTAGAGGCTGTTGCCTGGATTTGACAGAAGTTAAATCGGGGGCACGCACTTGGTAGACATAGAGCAGTCGAAACACAGCTTGTTTATCTCAATTCTATTTAGATAATGTACTTAAGGTATAAGACCAGAACCTTGCATATCCATACAAGTCTGGTCCATGGAAAGTAGAAAGAGTTGCCAGGCTAAGGTAGTCACGCACAGCCACCGAAGACGGAGGATTCGTTGAGATGATCCCCGGCCAAAGTCAACAAACATGTGTCTAGCTCCCATAGTATATGCTTGATATTGTTTTTATTAACCTGTTGCTGAGCCCCCGCCCCATTTTATCATATACATGTCAATCAGCCACCATCACTACTCCAGAGTGAAGGCTACCTTAATGCTCATAAGGATGTTAATGCCCACCTACCTTGTTTAGAAGCTGTACTTCTCAAGGAAGGAAAGCAAAAACAAGACGTTACACAGATTTCCCTCAATCTCAGCCCCCATGTGCTAACTAGGGCATTTGGTTAATATGCGAGATATATGTATTTATTGACGATGTGGTTATCAATATGGATTGCGCGAGAATTTCTTGAGAAGGTATGATACTACCGAAGCACACTCTAAGGCAATTTGATGAACGCAAGATAAACCTTCCTCAGTTGAACATACTAAAAACAGAACTTTATCTCTTTACGGATATCGCAAAAATCACACACTATTATATACAAAGTCTACATCTCCGATCAGCACTATTATACGATCATCCATCTTAATACACTCGAGTTTTTTCCAACACATACAAATTCTCTCAGGTCTATCACTACTTTGATATATCCTACAGCACTGGTCATGTCCGACCCTTCCATGGAAATCGCTGCTAAAGCACTATACAGCTTATCCAAAGATCAAGGCGACAAGAAAACTGGTCAGTCTTCATTGCCGACTCCTAGCATTTCCCCCAGGTTGCCAACCCCTCCATTGTCGGATGATCAAGTTTATGTCACAATTGATCCATCTCCATCTCAAACCAAGAGACTACAGTGTCTAGAGCCGGCGCTCCCCCCCATGAAATGCCACCTCCCTGTCCGTTTGGTCCACGGCCATCGTTCTTTGACTTCAGAGGCCCGGTCTACCAATACCCAACTCTTGCTTTCAAATCGAGAAGAGAACTCACAATCCAAACGTCCTGTATTGCACGTCAGGGGCATGTTTAGCAACAAGAAGCTCCCCCCACTACCTGATCCTCCTCGGCAGTTGTCGTACCATGCGGACGGTACATGGCACGAAGGCTCAGCAGCATTGGGCATACTCCTCGCACACCTTCCTAACCTACGCAGCTACGAGGGATAGATGCTCTAAATGAGGGATTCCCTCGATCAAAAGATGTTTAAGCTCTGCTGCATCTGGGAGCATAAACATGGTGGCCTTCCGAGGGAACTTGTCGAGAAGAGGCTGATGTATCACTTGGAGTCCATCTTCAAGTTGGCCGGAGAAGGAGACGAGCAGGAACGGGCGAAGATGGAACTTGTTTTGAGCTGGCTATCGGACCTTGTCCGACATTGGGTCCCGAATGAGTCTACAATGTCTTCCACCGATGCCGCGGTGCAGAATCATCGTCATCACCAGCAACATCAGGGGCCAAATTAAAGGTTGTCGCGAAAGTTTGTTGCACATAGCAATTGAGTACGCCCTTACACATACTTTTCATCAAAGCTTCTTTTGAATCTTTATCATAATGAGAACTATTCAAGTCATTTCGCTTCATTACAATGTTTCATGTTTCTCAAAATGAGTAGCAAGCTTTTCTTTTCTCCGAAAGGTACCATAACAAGTAACTTGACTCACTTGAACCTTTTAAACCTAGACCTTTACTCTTTACCCTCGACCTCCCTTGTCTTTCCAGCCTGTCCTTTGCCGGGGGCGGCATCAAATTTTGACTTCCATGTATCCTCCTGTTTGAACATTGCGATGCATTCATCAGCACTTGGCTGCCCGTATTCAGGATCCGCGCCCCCATCTAGCAACTCCTTGGTTTTGCAGTTAGTATTACATTTAGTCCCTTTTTAAAAAGGAATTCTAATCCAAAAATAATTTCAGGGAATGACTCACTTGAACTACTGCGTCTTCCTTCTTGAACACTGCCCCAGCGAGAGGACTCTGCCCTCGGTCATTGAGACGATTAGGGTCCGCACCATGTTGAATGAGAACTTTTACTAAGTCTGCATGACCGTGGTACGCAGCGAGCATAAGCTTAGGTTATCAGCACAAGCTTCTTGAAGATATAATGCTCGAGATATACTCGAGTGTCATGGGCATACCAAGGTATCGCCCTTGTCGTTTGTCAGATTTGGAGGTAGGCCTGCTGGAAGAGCCTGCTCAAACGTGGCCACGTCTCCCTTTCTCGCGGCATCGTACATCCTGCTTGCGAACTCTATCATCTCCGGCGTGAGAGATCCCGCACGGGTTGGTTGGTTTGAAGCGTCGCTCATGATTGTGCCTCTATTGTTGTCTCAGGTTGGCAAGGTTAATGAACGCAAAAGTTTAAAATCGTGAGTGAGTCACAAAGAAAATTTTGATTCTGGGTGCTTCTGATGTTATTGTGATGATGGAGAAGAAGCCCGGAGTCATTGAGTGAGGTCGGATGAAATGACGTATGCTATGGATGGTTTTTATTCTATGGCGTAAATGCCGGTAAGGTGGTTTAATGGGACAGTTACGGTGGCGTGCTTTAAAAGAAGAGGATAACGATGTTTTCCTAAAACAATAACATTGTGCAAAACTATTTGCTAATCTGCATTTTTACAAATCTTATTTCCAGTTGCTATCGTGTCACTCTTCATGATATCAAAACTCAAACTCAATCTTCATCACGCGCTCGGTGGTGTCTGACCTCAAACTCATATGCTCAAGTTCCCAGACTCAACGACTCTGAAGAGGAAAAAAAAGGGGGAAAGTCCCGTTACCGATAATGAGTCTCGTATGTCGCTCATATACTGACAGTGGGAAAATAATGTGATCGCGATGCATTCTCGTACAGTTGTGTTTACAAGGAGACAATTGTTCAAAACGCCGTGGGTAGAGCATCGATTCGTTCCATGCTAATCATCTCGGATCAGTCGAAAAATAACGAGTACCATCAAAGAACCTACCATAAAATACACTCATTACCTCAAATGTTAATTCCGTACTGCATTTAGTGCAGGAAGTCCGTAATTCCATCACCTTCGCCATTGTCTGGCTCATTTGGAATCGGCGGGTCAGGTTTTGGCGTCTCTGGACGATGCGCAATGCCAAAAATCGGGTTCATGATGATTTCGGTGTGTTCTCCTTTCTTCTGTTGATATTTTTCGTTTTTTTAGGTGCTCTTCGAGGGAGAGGATGATGATTCTTTGCCGTCAAACCATTAAGAGGGAGATGGGTGGCATATATAAAAGCAAAAAAGTCAACTAACAGCGCGGGGGGCACGTTACGTTACGTCAGAGTTTTGTGAGCCATCTAATCATTGGAGGAGTTGAGTCAAAGACAAAAAACGTGTGGTTTACATTCCATCCATTCCAACTCAATAATTGCCGCGTGGGATAATAAGGGGTTGCAGTTGGGTATGACAAGCACTGTAGTGAGTGATCATGCGATGATTCTTCAAAGCCCAACGCCGGTTATGTCTGATATCCTCAAAAGGGCCGTTAAGTTCCAGGACCATGGGTATCATTTAAACAACATTTTACAGTTGACAGAGAATGCGGGGGTTGGGGATTGTTTTACAGATCTATGGTAACATGTCCTTGCTTTTTCCGCGGATCTGGATAATCAAATCGTTGGCAAAAGTTCCAGAGCATAGGGTAGATGAATTGTTATAAGTTATCTATCATGATACACTGCATCGCACATTGAACCCTGGTCTCGATACTTGCATGATATGACATGGTATGATGATATCAAGCATGTGATTCGAGCCTCACGACATGCAATAAATCGACTTGACCCTGAATCTCTCTTCGTCATTGCTGACTGATACCAGCAATTACAGAGACACCTTTTATCTCTGGAAAAACACCATTTCTTGAAAGAACCGCCTATACCAGACAAAAATGCTCGCCGCTCAACTTTCCCCATGTAGCCCCCATCACGATGTGGAAGTCTGACAGGGACAGGGAGCAAGGGTCGAGGAAACCCAATTGGTTCTGACATCCGTGGAGCAATTGACGAAAGACAGACAGACACAAATAATTGACAGTTGACAAGTGTGTCTATCGTCGAAGAATTGAGCGAGATCGGCATCTTGGACGTTTCGGGGTCTGCATAAGGCCGCTTTCTATAGCATCAGCCCTTAAATGACATGTAGTCTACATAATGTTAGAGATCTTCAACACCACGCTTAGGTTACCTAAAGCAGCATTTCGGAAACACAGCGATGGAAGAAAACCAGCTAGAATGGGATTATTGCCAAGTTGCCCATTGCTACGAACTCCATTCCCCTGATATTTTTGTAATTCTGATGTTGGTGGCTGAACTAACAGTCGGATCTGGCGGGAGAGGATGCTTCGGCTTGTGATCCTACGAACGAGATGAGGGGTAGCTCTCTACTCAAAGCGGTTCAGTTCCTAGACTACCTCATGGCAAATTTGGTTCTCAATTGATCGGCATCGAAATCTCAAGCTTGGATATGGCCGAGTTTTCCACTGATGGGCAAGACTCGAATCCTCTGCGGATCGCTTTTTAGCGGGAGACGTAATATCAGATCAGGGCAAAGCGGGTGTCGTGCATGCATGAGACGGGCTAGACTGTCTAGATTGCCATCAACTTCTGAGCTGTACGGACGGTGCATGCGGTCACGTCGGATAAAATGGAGGATACAGACAGAGAGAGGTCAAAGTCAAAACCAAAAGGTCCACCATGAGTTGCTTGCATCCATCCTTGAAGGGCGTGCGTGCATGGAGAGGAGAGGAGAGGAGAGGAGAGGAGGAAGCGCTTTATGAGACGAGTAAGTGGATATATCTTCCCCGGAACGCTCAGGACCAAGAAAGGCCCTTGTTGATCAACTCGAATATTGAAGTTTTGGAGAAATGATTGACCATCGTTGAGCCCAACAAGTCAGAGGATAAAAGGGTTCGTGTATGACCCCAGAAGTCGGGGATTCACTGACCCAAAGTATGCATCTCGGACAGGTCACAGTTCCGTCCTTTGCGTTGGGCTGCGTACTGTACAGTACAGAAGAGTTTCCTTTCCAGTAAAACAATGCGCAGGAATTATCATAACTCATAAAGCATGCCACAAACTGACTCTTCACAATCCCCAAACTTTGGTTGGGAACCCAATCGGCTGGTAGACGGCCAATTTGCGTTGCATTTCAGACCACCAAACACGTCGGGTGAGCTGCTACCGACCAAATATGAGATGCCATCATGAGAAAATTGAAAGGAGGACATTCTCGTAAAATTGAGGCTAGGGTAAAAGTATCATGATATCAGTCCTTGAGGTGCTCTAACATCAGATGTTTAGTTGGATCAGCCACAGTTGATACATGGCGAAAGGATACGAATACTTGATTTTAGCATGTGATTCGGGTGAATGTGCAAGTACAGACTGACTAAGGCCGTGTACTCCCGGCACCCGCACCCGTCTAAACCGTAAGCGGGTCTCCACCAGCGGCCGGGTCCTCCCACTGATTCTCATTCTTCCTCCTCCTCCATCATTGTTCATCATGGATGGCCATGATCCATTAATTATTACACCCCTGTCAACTCTCTTCTTCCCCCCTTGGGGCCCCAATCAAAGCTCCCCATTCTCCAGCTTCGTCCCCTGCCCGTCAGATGTCAAGCATGTCCTGCGTGGCCATCTGTGACCTGGAAAATCAAGTAGCTTGCCTATTGATTATGCTACTGATAGTCAAAAAACGACTGTCAGCGTGAAATAAGGCCCGACTAGCTAACATGCCACCATCTGAACTTTCTGGGCACTGTCTGTTTCAACCTGCTTGCTGAACCTGCTCTCAATTGATCCCCGCGAATCAACGGTTACGAAGCCATCGATATTGTACTATACTCTGCTATAGTGGAAACTCCCTCGTTGACTCGGCCAAGCCCATCAGCACTTTGAGCAATTGACTCTGCGATTGACTTTCATAGTGATTACGATTACAATCCAGCACCTCTCACAGCACGAGTTCGGTAACACAAGGGAATATACCTACAGCGGGAGGTGGCGCTAGCAATGCCTGTCCCGTCTTGGTGGCTGCAAAAAAACACTATCAAGATACAAAGATACATCAGACCACTTTTTGCAACGACCGTCAAAAACCATCGTCACCGGCCGAAGCTCCAGAACGTGTCAAAGCTATCCACCTTTGACTCGTTCTTGGCCGATATGTGCCAACAAGAAACAAGAGCTAATAAGCTAGCCAACCTTACTTGGGTACCTATACCGATCTCCCCTTCTGTGCCGCCGGCGGAGGACGAGATATCGACCTCCTCCAGGCAGACCACTTCGCTGCTCATCCCATCCCATTCCACTGTCCTGTCTTGTCCGGTCCGTCTTCCTTGCTCTCTTCCGCTCCTTATGCCTCTTGTGAATAGGCAGGGTAGGTTAGGCATTTGAGAACGTCCCCCACGCACGCCACTATCTCGCCCATCGCTCATCTCATTACCCATCTGTGTCTGAACTCTCAGTTACCTACTACGGTACTACGTGCCATCCAATCCGTAACAGTGGTGATTTACACCCACACCCACGCCCTCGCCCTCGCCCTCAGCCGTGCAGAAAGCCTATCCCATCTCCCTCGTACTCCAATTGGATCACCATCCTGCTGTAACCTCTGCTGATCTCGTCAACGGCCGTCTACCCATACGCAGTAGCTCCATGGGCCATGGGTTTACGTTACCCTACCCAATCTGCGGCAAAGACATCAAACTAAGCCTGGTATAGTATGCACATACATGTTGTAGCATGTAGCAGGTAAGAATAGCATAGCCTTTCCCTTCGGCGTTCTCTCACCGCACTCCCCGTTATACTCTATACCTACCTCTCTTCTCCTCTTTCCTTGGCAACCCTTTCTGCTTTCTCATATAAGAAGGCTTGGAAGCTCTGCGTATAGAGTTTTCTCTTTTGTTCTTTCCTTCTCATCTCTCACCCGAAGAGTTCAATCTCACTTACAACTCTTACAACCTCATCACTTATATATATCCTAATAACCCTACCCCAATGACTGAGGAAGTCAAATCTATCTCGCCCTTCGGCATTGCCCGCTCAACTGTCAAGGGCGAGCCTCTCTCCAAGGAGGAGATTCAGCAGTACAATGACTTCTTCAAGGCCAGCTGTTACCTCTCCTTAGGTATGATCTACCTCAAGGAGAATCCTCTTCTTCGAGAACCCCTCAAAGCCGATCATCTCAAGCTTCGATTGCTTGGTCACTTTGGCTCTGCCCCCGGCCAAATCTTCACATACATGCACTTCAACCGTCTGATCAAGAAGCACGATCTTGACGCTCTCTTCATCTCTGGCCCTGGACACGGTGCCCCCGCTGTCCTCTCTCAGTCTTATCTGGAGGGTGTCTACTCCGAGGTGTACCCTGACAAGACCCTCGATGCTGAGGGTATGCAAAAGTTCTTCAAGAGCTTTTCGTTCCCTGGTGGAATTGGCTCTCATGCTACCCCGGAAACCCCTGGATCTCTGCACGAGGGTGGTGAGCTGGGTTACTCCATCTCACACGCTTTCGGTGTTGTCTTCGATAACCCCGACTTGATTGCTCTTACCATGGTC